GGGACCATGTGCTACAGGCAACAACACGAAAACGAAATGGAGGTCATGTACAATGCTACTCCTCCAGTATGAATTCTCAGTTCATTCTGTCAACTAGGTATCATATTTGTTTTTGCTTTTACTGTAATCAGATACTTTACCACTTCATCACAGGGAACTCATTGGTTCCAATGGACCAGGGGCAGGAACAGTTGCAGGCAGTTATGTGCATTTTGCACACGGCGTAACTTTGTTTGCACATGGTGTAACTTACTTTTAACAACGTGTTACTTTAGAACAAAATTTTATGAGTCCCACATATATTGTTAAATCGAGATATAAGATGGAATCTGAACCGTATAATTTTTTTTGGCCAAATCTTGGCCACTCCTGCCCCTCTTCCGGTTCCAATGAACAAATCAAAGTTTCCAAGGTTTCTGGTATGACAACCTTAACTTGTAGATCTTATAAAAGATGAAGTGATAATTCATTAAATACCCAGATAAAATTAGAGAAAACCTTCAATTTCTCCACATGGAAAGCAGGAATGATAAGTTTTCTGTGTTTAGCCCATTTATCTCCATCATAGCTGACCAGCCCTTGTGCCAGCAATTTGATAAGTGGATTAGCATGAGGCTTTTGAAAGATGTAAAGCTTTGTTGTGATCTCCCTTATGTGTTCAGGGTTCATGATCACCACCATCGGTTTTGGTCCAAGCCACACGTATGTATTCTTACTTGAGAATCATTCACCACTTATTTCATTAAACAAACATCTTAAATCAATCAAGGGTACTTAGTACTGCTGTCTTTATCCGTTTCTTATATCATTTAACAGAATGGATATATTGGAACCAAGATACAGGAGGGTACTTCACCTTATGAACTCCTGCCGGTACCTGAATATCAGACAGCAATGTATACAAGAAGCACGATTAAAGAAATGCATTACTGCCAATTGGACTCCTTGGATTAATTGTGATCATAATATTTAGTCCTGATCATCTTAACCAATCACTCAAGAAGATATAAAGGCGTCATTTATTTTCGAATATTACTCGGCATTGCTATCTATTTGATTCACCATGTTTGAGGTTTACATTAATCATGAGAAGATTGATTCTTCCGGTAGTACTGGAGAATCATTGAGTTTAAACTCTCGAGACTGGAAAGTGGACAAGCAACCTAATTTAGAATAATTTTTCCAGATTGGCACATCCACCCATTTGTATTCATATGCCAAGGTTCAACTCTCGTTGCTCTAATTTGCACTATCTGCTCTGCAATCTCCTTCATGTACTCAAAGCAGGGGGGAAAAAGAAATTTTCTTGCTAAAAAAAGCTGTCTCATTTACTGAATAGTGAAAACAGATTGGTATCCACTATTGCATTATTTGCCATATCAAAAATAAGATAGAACTATCCTTAGGAAATGCTTCCAGACTGATAAAAAGAAAGGTGTAATGATGACCCTGCAATCTCCTTTATGTACTCAAAACAGGGGGAAAAAGAAAATTTCTTGTTAAAAAAAGTTGTCTCGTTGCAAGGTAAATTGAAATGAGGAATCTTGAAAGGTAAATTGCAATCATTGAAGAAATCCATGAACACTTGCAAAGAAAGCATCGGATGATTGAAAAAGATGATACTACTACTTACCATACTTCTTGACAGCTTTACAGAAGTGAGGAATAACTCTTGGGACGAAGTCTTCAGAGAGATTGACTGGCTTGGAGTGAGCTTCCTCGAAGAGGGTTGAGGTCTCTTTGAAGTCTGCATGGAGAAGTTTGTAAGGATTTCCTCTGAGGCCTTGCTCTTTCAGCCGCTTTTCCAGCTTCTTAGGAGTTAACCACACCCAGTCGAATGCTTTCCATGTAAGCACTAAAATCAAGAGCAGAACACAAGAAGAGAATACAGCAATTGGGCTGTATGCTATCTCCATTACAGAGGCGCAGTTAAAGGTTTAATTTTGAGCATCTGCTCTTGCATTCATATTTAGAGTCATCTTCATGATGTCCCAGAATTCATCAGTTTTAGAGCAAGTTACTCTTTAGTCCTAGTTGTTTAATGATTCACGCAACTTTCCTATAATTTTAAAAGCTATACATAACTCTCAAATTTTGGATTAAAGTATGTTCGGGGGTTAATATCTTTAATGCTAGCGGTCCCAGAAAAGGGGCGTAAATCCTTCATATTGGTCATTCCGGTTTCCCCTGAGACTTCAATTCAAACTTCCAATGTGCCTTCAATACTATGAGCCTATGAGGTTATCTTTTATCCAAAATGTTTCAGATTCTAATTGCACTTTTATTTTGTAAAATCAAACACCCCTGCCGGGCTAAGTCTGCCGCCCTGTAGCCTGTAGGGGACAACATTCATAACATTCAATTTACCTAGCACCCTAAGATTATTGATTACCCTTGAAACTGGTTCTGAGCAACAAGAAACCCGGAGAGGGAGCAGACTAAGACTCAGGCAGAAACTTTTGAACAATTTCCTGAAAAAAATCGTTAAATTTCAAAATGCAAGAACATTACACTGCCTGGCAGTTCTAGACAATTGAGGGTTACTTTAATAGTGAAGGGTTAGCACTTTGATGGTTGTAACTAATCTGTAACATACATCTCCTAGTCTATAAAGAGATCAATTGAGGGCTAACTTGCTGCAAAAAATCATCTTATCAAAACTTAGATATTCTGTAATAAGTACGCCAAAAGCTTTTTCTTTGGAGCTTTGAACACTAATGCTAAGTACTATCAAGACATGTTTCATTTTATCCGAAAGATAATTCGTCTATGGTGTTGCACTAAAATAGAGTACGAATTTAGCCTAAAAGAAAGTAAATCCAATTCACGACTTGAAGCCAACTTCTTGTTTTTCATCACATGCATACATTCCTCTCATTTGCGCCAACAACAGGTCCCAACCAAATGGGAAGAATGCAACATTTCCCTTTGTTGCATGTGAAACTCCTTGACAAAACCTTTCTTCTGGCTTGAATTCTTTCGCATCTTCGCCCCATATTTCAGGATCATGATGAGCTATCAGGGTTTGTAATTGTAACAAGATTACCATTCCACTGGGAAGAGATAAATTTCCTAATTTTGTTTCTGCAGCCGTTATTCGACCATTGACTAGTACTGGTGGATATAACCTTAGGACCTCGTGTAATATCAAAGTTACCTCAGGAAGAAAAACAAGAAACTCATTAGTCCTCTACCCAGATTTGTCAATGTTAATTATGTTACCAGGCTTGCCACCAACAGAGAAAGTGAGAAAGCTCGACTCAGTCTTCAACAAAACAGACTATGTCATCCAAGTGACATTTTAAGTTGGAATATTTTCTTCAACAATTACATTTAACGATTGTTGATGAGAATACCTTTTGAAAACTTCCTAAGAAGTCCTTTAACTACAATAATTGACTAAGGATGACTTAAAGCAATAAGTAAGCTTACATATTATAAAAGTCCTTTAACTTCCTATAAATGTATGTATGTATGTATATGCACAAAAAATAAAAAAGAGAAGTCTTGAAAGGTAAATTGCAATCTTTGAAGAAATCCGTGATCTCTCGCAAAGAAAGCATCAGATGATTGGAAAAGAAGATTTTACTGCATATCAAATTTCCTGACAGCTGCACAAAAATTAGGAATAACTCTTGGGACGAAGTCATCAGTGAGGTTGATTGGCTTGGAATGAGGTTCCTCGAAACGTCTTTGAAGTCTCCATAGAGAAGTTTGTAAGGATTTCCTCTGAGACATTGCCCTTTCAGCTGCTTCTCCATCTTCTTGGGAGTTAACCACATCTAGTTGAATACTTTCCAGGGTAGCACTAAAATCAAAAGCTGAATACAAGAAAAAAAACTATTGGGCTGTCATTCGTGTTCTACAAGTATCAAATTTATGATGATAAAGACAACGGAGAAAATTTTAATAGGTGGCAATGTGGCACATATTTTTAATGTTAATCATCTGCAAATTATACTTCTTTTTTAATATGGCATAATGGTAGGGTTTTTTTTTTTTTTTTTGCTATTTTAGAAAAGGGAAATGGAAGAAAATTTTGGAGCAAATTTTTGGGCTTTCATTGTTCTAGAAATATCAAAGTTATGATGATATGGTGTACGTTTACATAAACTGTTGCATTTCCTTCAATATTTGATGTAAATAAACAAAATTCACACTTTTGACCAAAAATTGTATCAATAGAATCCAAGCAATATCGAAAGTTAAACTACAAAATTGTGGCTTAAATGCTTTCGACTCACATCTTTATCAAACTACTCATTTCTTTCAAGTGTTTTCATTTATCTCCTCATCACACAATTTAGAATTTCAATTGAAAATAAAACCTGAAATTTCTCCCTTTTGTCTTCTCTCCTTTCCCATCACCGCATTCAGCTTATGCAGCTTTTCGTTGTTTCATTTTGTAGCTAAAATAATTTTATTTGGCTGGAGTCTAATGCTGATTTTGTCTGAAGATATCTTACCCTCATATGGAGGATTCGAAGATTAATAGCAAATAATTTTTCTTTAGTTTTAACGATAAGATTGGACGACTCTCCGGATGTTTGTACGCGATAAAAGTTTCAATTTATGCCAAACTATAAATTTTTACTCGTTGATTTGAACTTATGCACGAGATGATCTATAATAGCTTTCTATTCCACATTAAAAGAATTTCTCTTCTTACGCTCGTGCCTTGGGTTGAATTAACCATTCATGGTTTCTTTTCGCAAGTCAATCAACTGAATATTCACCAATGACTAGGAAGCTTCTTCAAAGCTAAGGCTCAAATGGGGTCAATTACAAAGATTACATGTTTCAAAAAATTTGTGATAATAAGTAAATCCTTGTCAAACACGATTTTCAGCATTTCCACGCCACCCCCGCCCCCCTCTTTTTTTTCTGGTGACTAGGGGAAAGTTTACACCCTTCCGCAGGAACTCCTCTAGAAGTAGCCGCACCTATTACATCTGCAGCTAATATGCATCTGTTGTTCCTGCTAACTATAGATCTCGTTCTGCTTGACATTGATTTCTCATTCCTTAAGCATCCACACATCCTTTTGTAGGAGTAGCACAAGAAACTTCACAATGCTTGCTTACAAATTACAATCAGATTTCAGGCTTTTATGAGCAACAGATGAAGATGGTAATAACAGAGAAGCGGGCAAACTGCTCCATACAACTATTGTTAACTCCACGAGTAGTGCGTGAGGGTATTTGGGTTTTGGAAGAGAAATCAAGATTTAAACATCTGAAGTACTTATTTCCCCACAAAGCTAATGACGCAAACAGCCAAGATACATAATTCAAGCTAAAATCTCTGCAAAATCAACTGAGCACCAAACTGGGGTTGAAGCGTTGCTGCTGCCCGAGGAGCATGAGTATAAGATGGCGAAAGCTCAAAGGAAAAGCGTTGCAGAATCATAGTCAATGCCAGTTTGGCTTCCAACATAGCAAAGTTTTGGCCAATGCATATACGAGGTCCCCAACTAAACGGGAAGAATGCGACTCGGCCCTTTGTTGCCTTTGAGACTCCATCAGCAAACCTCTCTGGTTTAAACTCCTCCACATCATCGCCCCATATTTCAGGGTCATGGTGCAGCAACATTACTGGTAATGATACCAACACTCCTGCTGGAAGAGATAAATTACCCAATTGAGTTTCTCCAGCAGCTCTTCGAAAGAGTGCAGGCACTGGTGGGTAGAGTCTGAGAACCTCGTGCAGTATCATGGTGATCTATAACAAAAGATAAACGCACTCAGACTTTACACTGACGAGATCATACTATAGAGTTAACTTCCAATTTTGACTAACAAGTGCAAATAAAGACACTGTACAGTTCCATTAGGTTCATTTGAACATTTTCTTTAATCAAGACACTGTATGGTGCACATGAGTTTGAGGTTGGTTTCACATATACGATGGTGTCAGAGCAATGGAAACGAGAGCTTGCAGACAGTAGTTACCAATTTTAGGTGATTTAGTCCGTCAAAATCTGGTTTATCAGTGCCAAAGAGTTGCAAAACCTCTTCTCTAGCACGCATCTGCCACTCTGGATACCTACTCAATAAGATCATAGTCCATACAAGCAGCACTGAGGTGGTCTCCTGCCCAGCGAAATAGAACAGTTTGCATTCTTCAATAACCTCTAGAACTGTCATGCCAAAATTCTTGTTGCCATGATGATCAATTTCTTTAGAGTTGGATTCCAGTAATATGCCCAGTAAGTCATCATCACAGGCTTTCGCTGCTTTCATTGCCTTCAATCTAGCATTTATAATATCTTTAATAGATTCTTGAACATCTCTTGCAATTTGTTTCATTCTTGTATTCCTCTTGGTTGGAATGAACCTGAAAAGAGCATAATTTGGCAAACAAGCAACAAAAACTTAAATGTCACCACATCAATATTGGCTAAAGGGATCCAAACAAATTACAGTTCTAAATCATTTGAAGTCAGAAGTTTCTTTAGGATAGAACAGGCAGTGAGGTGGAAAAATTGTACCGCCATCCTGGGATGTATAATGATCGTGCAGCCTCAATGAAATGCTCAGCCTGTTCTCTTTGAAGTTCGAATATTCTTGATCCTTCTTTGTAGTTACTACCAAATGCCGTCCGTGAAATTGCATCACAAGTCAGAGTCTGAAGATCCGGCCAAACATCCAACTCAGAGGAGCCATTGGATGAAACAATATCCTCCCACTTGCACATCATCTCACTAGCACTTGTATAAAATGACGGGAGCATGTGCTATAGGCAAGAGAACCAAAAAAGGGAAAAATAAGTCAGTATTACTGCTATTCCACTGGTAAGAATTATCAGTTCATTCTATCAATCAGTAACCACTTTTGATTTTGCTTTTCTTGCAACAGATATTAACCACTTGATCGAAGCCAAACACATTCATTTCAGCTAAAATTTATATATATATATATATATATATATAGTTTCAAAGATTTATTTTATGAAAACCTGACATCACACAGCTTATTACTTATCATGCTACAATTCACTAAATAATTGAAATAAAATCAGGGAAAACAAAACCTTCAACTTCTCCACATGGAAAGCAGGATTGATGAGTTTTCTATGTTTAGTCCATTTATCTCCATTATAGCTCGCCAGCCCTTGTACCAGCAATTTTAGGAGTGGATGACTATGAGGTCTTTGAAAGATGTAAACCTTTTGTGTGACCTCCCTTATGTGTTCAGGATCCATGATTACCACCGTCAGTTCTGTTCCCTGCCACAAATATGTATGCTTACCTGCAACGCATTCACCACTTCTCTTCACTTTCATCTCAAGGATAAGAATTTATCTTTCCATATAATTATCAAAAAATCAAGTGTACTCAGCTTTGTGCCATACTATCTATGTGTTTCTCTTCTTCCGTTTCACACAATAAAGATATTGGCATAAAGGGGTATAACGAGGGTGCTTAATCCTGCTCGAACCCAGAAATTAGTCATGTAACATGGTATATGGCAAGCACGTACTCAAATAAATGCATTACTAGAAACTTATGTCCATAATCTGATCATATATGTATATATATTTTTTGATTAACATAATCTGATCATATTAAAGGCTCAGTTTCGAAATATTTCTATTCTTTAATTTGCTTCAGCATGTTTTGAAGTTTATTCCTGTATAAAAAATTACAATTACAATTTAATTCAGTTTAAACTCTTGGACAGTGGCAATACGGTTTCATTGAGAACCTTGAGTTCTTCGCCGAATAATTCATTTTAATGACCATTCTATGTTCTTAGACTCCATAAAACATAGTAGACACAGAAAGGGAGAAAAGCAACCCAAGTTAGAACAAGTTGTCTCAATTGGTAAAGCCATACCTCCCTAACAATGTGCCAAGAATAGATGCAACTGTGGTCCCTTCCTCTTAATGTACTTAAAAAAAAAAAAGCCTCGTAAAAAGTTGTTTCCTGTAGTAAAAGCAGGTTCCCATCTACTCCTTGATAACTAAAGAAATTTCATAAACAGCCCTCCAATCTCAATAAAACTAGTTCTAGTAAGAGTAACTATCAGAAGAGAGAAATAAAGGAAAAGGCATTATCAAATACCCCAAAAAATTAAAAAAAAATCCGCCTCGAGTGTAGGGATATAATTGTGTATTATGAGATATTTCAGCGCAAGATAAGGACTAGCACGTGAAGTCCTTTCAGAGTGATGACGAGATGTAGCGGTGGGCGCAAGGTGTTATGATTCTGATTGCAATTGTCAGGTGTTGGAGTATTTTTTTTATAAAATAGTTTAAAATTATTGTTCCGTCAGAACAAAAGTCCAAATGTCAAATAGACAGATTAGCAATAGTTATAATAATTATTATAACAATAATAAAATTAACTATAATAAAATAATTAAAATAATAATATAATAATACACAAATATAGAGGGCTAAAGCACGGATATTTCATTTTTTTCATTTTCTTTAAGGTGATTCAAAACGCTGTGGAAGAATTAATTCCGCCGGTGCAGCAGAATCTTTGACTTGTCATCTCCAGAATACAACAATCCAACCACATTTGCTATCATTCTCATTAGAATGCACAATTAAGAGAATATAGCTCCACTAACACCAATTTTTTCTTTTTTCTTTTTGCCAATCTATGAAATAGATAGAGTGTTTCTCTTACGAATTATAGCTCACAAAATATAAGTTGTTGTAGCACCTTTTTCTATCTCAACGACACATATTTACAAGTGAAGAAAAATTAGTCAAATATAACCTACACTAGTAATATGCAAGGTAAATGCTGAAAATTATTGGCTATTCCAGACACATTTTAATTTGAATTATAGATTATAAAATTTATTGTAATTGAAAAATCATAATTTCATATAATAAATCTTTAGTCAAAAATCATCCAAACACGTAAATTTCAAAAACACTTACCAATTATTCTCCTTATAACTCACACATTTAATTGAGAATTTAACTATTTTATTAAAATACTCCAACAGGAGGTTAAAACTTCCAAACTAAAATCTTGATCATTGTAGAAATTAACTTAAAACAAAACAAAAATCATTGAAAGATAAATAATGATCATTGTACAGATCTAAACTTGTAGAAAAGAAAGCATCAGCTGATTGAAAGAGAAGATACCACTACAGTACTACTTACCATATTTCTTGGCAGCTGCATAGAAGTGTGGAATAACTCTGGGGACGAAGTCATCAGTGAGATTGATTGGCTTGGAGAGAGCTTCTTTGAAGAGGGTTGAGATCTCTTTGAAGTCTCCATAGAGAAGTTTGTAAGGATTTCCTCTGAAACCTTGCTCTTTCAGCCGCTTCTCTAGCTGCTTGGGAGTTAACCACACCTGGTTGAATACTTTCCATGCTAGCACCAAAATCAAGAGAAGAATACAAGAAGAAAGTACAGCAATTGGGTTGTACACTATCTCCATTACTGAGGTGTCGTTAAGGTCGGATCCGCCCTTGCCCCCATATTTATAGTGGGAAGTTGGTTATCTTTTTGATGTCCCAAAATGAAATGTTTGGTAAAATTACTCTTTAGGACCTTGTAGTTTGATGTCTTTTCGGTTTACTTCCTTATAGTTTTAATAATTATACATAACCTCCCGTACTTTGGACTAATGTATAAAGTGATGGAAATTATTGGAGTCAATTGAAATATCAAGAGTAACTTCATGTCAAAACGAAAATTATTTGTTAAAATTTATGTGTAGCATTATAAATTATAAGGGAGTCATGAGAAAAAAAGAGTTAAATCGTTTGGAAACTAAAATCAAAAGTCCTTAGATTTATACTTCCTTGGTCTCACTTTGGACATTTTATCTTCATCCCAGGTGGCAAATCAAATTGTAAGGAAAAGTGTGTCTAATCATATCTTTGTGGATTTTATTCTTTTCTTTTTTGGTAACAATTAATTATAGTCCTTTTTATAATTCCGTATTTATAGTCAATTTCATTCAATCTATTAATGACCCACCTTATATAAATTTGTATTAATTGTGTCTTTTTAACTTTTTTTGTCAATTAACTCATATCTTTTTATTTATTGTATTAATTGTAGCTATTGGCCACAATCAAAAACTTTAAGTCTTGGAGTAAGAGGTCACGGGTTCAAATCTTGTCTGCTACTATACGTGACTTTTTCTAAATTCATATGGGTGCATAAAAATCGGAAGAATGTTGTTCTGACATGGGAATGGTACAAAACTATACTGTCGGGCTGACTCAGCCTAGCAAGAAAGAAAAAAAAATTTAAATGATAGGTTGCCGGGATGACTAAGCCCGGCAGCCAAGCTAGAAATTTTTTTTTTATCCATTTGTTTTGGAGCAGCCAAAAAGGAGGAGGAAGAGGAAACTCTTGATGAATCAATTCTTGACTCGGTGATCAAATTTGTTGTTGTTTCAGTTAAGCAATTTCTAGTGGCCACGGCATGGATAAAGGGCCTTTTCTTGTATGTTTCTTGGGTATACTAGATTGTATACTCATGCACCTGACCTTTCTACTATTCAAGAAAAATAGTCTGGCTTCAGGGAAAAAGAAATAAAAATTAGTTTGGATGCAATTTGTGTGTGTGCGTGTGCGTGTGCGTGTTCGTGTTCATTTTTTTTTTTTTTTTTCCATGTAGTTTTTAATGGCATTTTTAACTGTGGTTTTAGGTCATTTTTAGCTGTGATCATTTGGTTGCGGCAAAACAGCCAGATATATTCTCTATCTTAGCAATGGTTAGTATATACTACTTATAGTAGATTATTTCTTGAATTTTATTTAAGTGATATTAGTCTTAAAATTAGTAAGGATTTTGACGAATTGATGGTCAGCATATTTTCTCTTTTGGGTAAATTATTGAATTTTTATTTTCAGTTTATTTCAATCAATATGGATGGCTACATGGTGGCAACGGATGTGGAAACGGAGCCAGAGGTTTAAGAAAAAAGCTACCTTGCTAACTGGGAAAAAAGAGACCCCATTGAAGTAGCTGCCTACTGTTATAAAGTGATGGAAATTATTGGAGTCAATTGAAATATCAAGAGTAACTTCATGTCAAAACGAAAATTACTTGTTAAAGTTTATGTGTAGCATTATAAATTATAAGGGAGTCATGTGAAAAAAAGAGTTAAACCGTTGGAAACTAAAATAAAAAATCCTTAGATTTATACTTCCTTGGTCTCACTTTGGACATTTTATCTTCATCCCATGTGGCAAATCAAATTGTAAGGAAAAGTGTGTCTAATCATATCTTTGTGGATTTTATTCTTTTCTTTTTTTGGTAACAATTAATTATAGTCCTTTTTGTAATTCCGTATTTATAGTCAATTTCATCCAATCTATTAATGACCCACCTTATATAAATTTGTATTAATTGTATCTTTTTAAATTTTTTTGTCAATTAACTCATATCTTTTTATTAATTGTAGCTATTGGCCACAACAAAAAACTTTAAATCTTGAGAGTGGGAGGTCAGGGGTTCAAACATTGTCTGCTACTATATGTGATTTTTTCTAAATCCATACAGGTGCATAAAAATCGGAAGAGTGTTGTTCTAACATGGGTATGGTACGAACCTGTTGAGTTGACTTAGCCAGCAGGAAAGAAAAATTTTTTTTTAAATGATAGGTTGCCGGGATGACTAAGCCCGGCAGCCAAGCTAGAAAATTTTTTTCTATCCATTTGTTTTGGAGCAGCCAAAAAGGAGGAGGAAGAGGAAACTCATGATGAATCAATTCTTGACCCGGTGATCAAATTTGTAGCTGATTCAGTTAAGCAATTTCTAGTGGCCACGGCATGGATAAAGGGCCTTTTCTTGTATGTTTCTTGGGTATACTAGATTGTATACTCATGCTACCTGACCTTTCTACAATTCAAGAAAAATAGTCTGGCTTCAGGGAAAAAGAAATGAAAATTAGTTTGGATGTAATTTGTGTGTGTGCGTGTTCGTGTTTTTTTTTTTTTTCATGTAGATTTTAATGGCATTTTTAACTGTGGTTATAGGTCATTTTTAGCTGTGATCATTTGGTTACGGCAAATGATCTGGGGTTGTGCGCTAGTATCTGCCTGCATTTCTTTGGTCCTGTTCGGTTACGTGATGATTTTTTTTCTTTTGAGGGTGTTACTTGATGAAAATGATAGGGTGTTAATTGTTAGTAATTTTATTGTTAATTTTCCCTTTTATCCTTGCCAAATATTGTTTTAATTATTAATATTTACTTATATTTGGTATTGGATCCAATTTCAGGGAGTGAAGCAGAAAACTACAAAAAAGGAGGGACTTTCTGAAGATAATTGAGACTTCAAATAAGCCACAGACCTGGCCCACATGGTGATAGACGCGGACTGCATTTCTTTTTTGCGAATTAGGAGTATCTTGGAGTGTTGAAGTGTTTGACTATCAAGAGGAAACTAAAGAAAGAAGGACTTCAGAGAACTTCACTTTATGTACACTCCTTTCTCAATTTGTGCGGGGACCACGGAGAGAAGAAAGGCATTAGTCATTTGAATTGAAAGGAAACAAACGTGCAAAGAGTTGTTTTTGTTCCTTATTCGTGGGGACCACTGGTTAGATAGCTTTAGTCATTTCCTTTTGGCTATATAAGGACAACCGAAAGAAAGGCTACGGAGAGTTTTTTAGCATAGTTTAGTTTTATTCTTTCTTGGTTCCTTTGATGGCGTGGATCTCAGTTAAATTACTTTGAGATTTTCTCATGAGGCGTGGCTAAGTTTTCCTAGTCGAAGGTCAATTTGAGAACTCGGTTTCGAACATCTGTGAGATCTAATTATTTTATTTATTTCTTTTATTTATTGGTATTTGTGCGTTTCCTGATTTAATTGCTTATGCTTGTTATGTTATTTGAATGTCAAGGGCCCGATATTCGAATTAACCTAATGATCTAATGCTAAATTAATTGATTGAATCCGTAATTGTTCAATTGATTAATACCAGTGGCGACTAGCGTGATTGGTTTCATGTTAGGGAAACGTATGATCTAATTTAAACAAATCCTCGTAGCGTGTTTGTTGGTTAGGATTGAGTTTTTCTAATTATTAATGCAATCAAGTAATTAAATCTTATGGTCGTACCTAGGGTTATTTCTTGGTTAGAGAAATAGTTAACGGTCGTACCTTAACTATCGAGAAATTAAGGAAAGGCTGGTTGTTCATCGCGTGTATGGCAACTATAACCAATCTATTAATAAGTAATTGAATTATCTTTGCGTCGATGATCAGTTGCATGGAGCGTGTCTGAAAAGTTATACCTTTGGCTAGAGTCATATTGGTTATTGATTAATTTCTATTTATTTCTATTAGTTATTTTATTAGTTAGTTAATTAGTTATTTTATATTCTCCAAAAACCCCCCATACTTCGGATTCTAAAAGAAATAAATTATCCCCAGTCCCTGTGGATTCGACCCTACTTATCACTATCTACAGAAATTATATTTTGTTTGAGCAGGTATTTATTATTGCACAGACTTGACAACCTGTCAATTTTTGACGCCGTTGCCGGGAACTAGTGCCAGATTAATTTGTTTCTTTTTGAGTTTCATCTTATTTTTATTTTATTTTATTTATTTATTTTTATTTTATTTTTTTTATATAGTTTATGGCTTCTAACACTCCGTATTTTGGTGATAGACTGGATTTTGTTTCCAGGGAAGGCAATGAGGCTAGTTTTTTTGCTAAGTTTGCATATTCAGAAGTACTAAACTCTATTAGAGAAAGAATGGTTGCTGCAACCTGTAAAATTTGTTATGCCAGGGATCATTCAACTGGTATGTGCCCCGAATATCAAGATAATCTTAGTGTCCCACTCAATAATTATGGAGATTTTTCACCATGGTCTCAAACGTGGTATAACCCTAATCCAAACGGGTATGATCAAGGATGGTGGGATAACTCCAATTATAATTATACAACGGGGCCAATGAATTTTCAGCAGTATGAGTCTCAAGAATCATCATCTATGTCAGGTATGTCTCTTGAAGAAATAGTTGTATCAATAGCTACTAATACATATCAATTCCAACAGGAGACACAAATGAGAAATAGGATGATGAAGGATGCAATGAGTAATCTGGAAGATCAAATTTGTCTATTGACATCCAGAATAAATCGATTGGCTTCTCAAATGGAAGAATTGCCCTCGAAAACCATTGTTGATTTTGAAGAAAATAAGAGTGCAATTTGTTTGACTAGTGATGAGGAGATACAAGAGTGTCAAAATGAGAGATCTACAAATGCAGTTGAAAAAGAAGCCGAAAAGGAAGAAATGGAACCCCAACCGCAACCCATTTAAGTGAAAGAATTCAGTGAAGAATCATCAAATGTGGTGACACCACCTCCATTCCCTAACCCGCATTTTCTTAACTCTTACTCTATAATTTCTGTTGATGAGATTGATTTTGTTATACCGGAAGTTATTGAGTCTCATGGCAGGAATAAGTTAAGAGTAGCTATGGTCAAATATC